CGCGTGGCGTGAGTCAAACCTTGCCGATGCAGGACGGAGGCGTGTAGGTACGGGGTGTTGGTCCGTGGGGCTGGAGGCTGAGCCGAGGCGAGGAGCTGGGCAGCGATGGGGGTGCTCCTGTGATGGGGTGGTCATGGTGCGGGGCGGTGGGTACTGGCAGAGCCTGCCTGCTTGGTGCGGGGCAGGGTTGGGAAGAGGCGAGGTGGGTGAGGAGCATCAGTTCGGTGCAGCCCTTTGACTTGGTGTGTCCTGTCCGCAGTGGGAAGAGGTGAGCGGGTACGATGAGAACATGAACACGATTCGCACCTACCAGGTGTGCAACGTCTTCGAATCCAGCCAGAACAACTGGCTCCGGACCAAGTACATCCGGAGGCGAGGAGCGCACCGCATCCACGTGGAGATGAAATTTTCTGTCCGGGACTGCAGCAGCATCCCTAACGTCCCAGGCTCCTGTAAGGAGACTTTTAACCTCTACTATTTTGAGTCAGACGTTGACTCGGCCACCAAGACTTTTCCTAACTGGATGGAGAATCCCTGGATGAAGGTGGACACAATTGCTGCCGACGAGAGCTTCTCGCAGGTGGACCTAGGTGGACGGGTGATGAAGATTAACACCGAGGTGCGCAGTTTTGGGCCCGTCTCCAAGAACGGTTTCTACCTGGCCTTCCAGGACTACGGGGGCTGCATGTCCTTGATTGCCGTCCGCGTCTTCTACCGCAAGTGTCCCCGTGTGATCCAAAACGGGGCCGTCTTCCAAGAAACCCTCTCAGGAGCGGAGAGCACTTCGCTGGTGGCGGCCCGGGGGACGTGCATCGCCAACGCGGAGGAGGTGGACGTGCCGATCAAGCTCTACTGCAACGGGGACGGCGAGTGGCTGGTGCCCATTGGCCGCTGCATGTGCCGGGCAGGCTACGAGTCGGTGGAGAACGGGACCGTCTGCAGAGGTAACCGCTCGCCTTCCGTCTCGCTCCGCGCACTCGCCTCGCTGCTGGTGGGCTGGCGGGGGTGGTGGTTGGGATATTTCCAGCTGGGATCTGCACGAGCTGCCTGGGAGTGACTTCATTAGGCAGGGATGGGAGAGGACCTGTGTCCAGGGGTGCCAGCCTGTGGCTGGTGCCCTCCATGCTCTCTGGGTCTTGGAAGGACACACCTGTGTGTAGCTGTGGTGCATGCCACTGATCTGCAGTCACCTCCCAAAATACTGGGGCTGTTTTCACTTTGATTTGTTCCCCGTGCCCCGGTGTGGGCTGAAATGCTTCTGGGGTGAGTGGAGCAGGAGTGCAGTCACCCCAAGGTGATGTGGTGGGAGGGAGCAAGTTGTCTGTGGCGTTTTCCTGGTGGAAATGGCCCAGGGTGGGACATAGTTGTGGACTGTTTAGTGCCAGGGTCACCTCTCCAGCCTGGGAACCTCTGAACCTGATCTCTGAGCCTTCTCAACAGCCAGAGGTCTCCTGTCCTGTAGATGTTTTTCCGTCTTGTAGATGTTCTAAGGAGGCTCCAGGAGCATCTGCTCAGCTCAGCTGAGCACCGTGGAGCCAGCGTGGTCCCAGGCAAGTGAGAGGCTCTGCACCACCCTCTCTGTGTCCAAACCCATCTCCCTGCTCCTCGCCAGTCACGTGTGGGCTTGGGGAGGTTGAGAAAGGAGCTGCTATTGAAAGAGAGATGGGCACTCGAGAGCTGCGTGTTTAATGGGCACCTGTGGCTGTACTGTGCACAGAGCAAACCATGGCGTTTGGCAGGCGGGCTCTTTTCCCCCCCCATCCTGGCTGAACATCAAAATTCCATTACAATTTTGATAACATCGGCACACTCGGAGCAGAGCTGGAGTTCCTCTGAGATCAATTATAGATACCTCGCTGGGCACTGCAGAGCGCAAGGAAGGAGCTGCGTCTCCTCGCTTCTTGCTGTGGGAAGGGGTGACTGGGGAGCACCAACTGTGGAGAAGATGCTGGTAGCAGGGAGACAGAAACACCCCAGAGAGGGGTGGAATCTCTGGCCATGCTCAGTTGGGACTGTAGGTTGGATGATCCCCTTGGAGAGGGGTCTTCTACTGGGGAGCTCAGGCATCAAGCTACATTCCTGACGTGCTGCGGGTGTCCTCTAATAGCCCTGGTTTGAGCTGTTCCTCACTGGGCCACTGAACATCTCTTCCCACCAAGCTCAGGCTGATCAAGTGTCCTCCAGCTATGGCAGGGACCGTGCTGGGGTTGGGGACAGTGAGGAAGTGCTGCTGCAGCGCAGTGTGTAAAGCAACCCTGGCTAATCCCAGCCTCCAAGGGAAGACGGGTGTTTTATGACACCCAAGTGAAGCATTCGTAGCAACACCAGAAAGCCAGAGTGATTCATGTCAGCTTTTCCATCTCAGCCGTTTTTTGTTTTTCTTCTGAGCGGACCTGGCCCAACGCATCCCCGCCTTCCCCATCGCTCTGATGCAGCGACTCAGGGCTCTCCAGTCCCGCTGCCAGCCCAGCCAAGGGCTGCCAGCCCAGCCAAGGGACGGTCCCTTCACATGCCCCAGGGCTCCCAGGACTCCTTATGCAGAGCCTTGTCCCTGCAGCCTGGGGGCAGGAGCAGGGGGCCAAGGGGAAGGGAGTGAGCAGGAGGGAGAGGCCGGATCTCCTCTTTGTCTGTGCAGCAGCAGCAGCAGCAGGATTTTTGGGAGGTCCAGTACCTTGGCAGCTGTTTCTCCAGCCGGTGCTGGCGTGCGCCCGGCCCCGTGCTCCCCACCGTCATTAATCACGCGGTGGCCGGCAGCCCGCCGTCTCCGTGGGGCAGCTGGCTCCGGGGCTGCCTGCCCCTTCCCCTTCTCTTTCCACTTCTTCCCGCGTGGGACTGGATGGGACCCCAGGGTTGTGCCAGACTGGGATACACCCTCGAATTTCCCCCAGCAGCCCCCGGAAGAGGAATGGTGACTGGGAGGAGAGCCAGCCATGGAGTTGCCAGTACAGCCAGTAGCATCCCCATCCTCTCCCAGTCCCCCTGCAGAGAGCCCCGCAGAGGACTGGGGAAGGGACTGGTCATCCCGGCTCGGTCAGGCAGAGGAGGGGCTCTCCTCTCCAGCTTAACTCAGGAAGGGCTGTGGGATGCAGCCCTGCATCCCTGCCCACATCCTGGGGCATCCTTGCCCTGGTCCCTGCAGAGGCAGCGTAGGAGCCGTCTGGTTTGGGGGACTCACTCGTACATGTGGCCGGCAGGTTTTCTCATGTTTCGAGGGGTGGGAGGGAATCTGGGCCCCTTTCCAGAAGCAAAACAAAAGCAAATCCGAGCTGGCTTTGGGGGCGAAGTGCTCTCACAGGGCTCCGTCGCCTGAACGGGACGTGTCAGGGAGCATGGGGGACGTTGTTCTCTGGTCCTGCTCTGCCAAAGGGTCCCAGTGGAAAAGGACATCCCAAACCACGGACAGCCCCTTGGTGCAGCTGCAAGACACTGGAAGGAGTTGCTCATTTTTTCCTCTGGGTTTTCATCTGGCTAATGCAGCGCAAGCCTGCGCACGGCAGTGTACACAAGGGATATTTATGGAGGAAGTTCATGCATCTAACAGCTTAAGCTCTTCTAAGCTTGCAGCCCCAGCACAAAAGGATTTGGGGGCCGTTAACAATTTTGTGTGGTTAAGAGATTTTCATTTTGCTGGGCCTCGCTCGCCAATCCCGCAGGGCCCTGCGAG